ATGGGAAGGTTATCCTGAATTATTTAGGTGTGTCCGATGTGAGAGAATTAGATGCTTCATTGCTCGCCTGATAGCTGGAGGAAGGGCCCAGAGCCAAGGAACACAGGCACCTCTAGAAGCTGGAAGAGAAGAAAGTGCGTCCTCCCTGCAGCTGCCAGAAGGCACCGCCCTGCCGGCCAACACCTTGATTTCAGCCCAAGGAACCCCCCTGTGGACATCTGAGCACCAGAACTGTAAGACAACACATTTATCCTGTTTGAAGCCACAGCAGAGAGTGATGGAGGCTGCCTGCGAGGCCGTCTGCTTAACCTGAGCCCTTCTCAGCTGCCCCCCTGAACACCAGAACCTTTGCACAAAACTGTGAGTTTGCTCCTCCATTCTCTTTTGATTATTCAGATTAATATTTGCGCACACACACACACACACACACACACACACCACATTTCAGCACTGCTATTATCAAGATCACCAGGACCCCACGTGGCTAATCCCAATGACCACGTGTCAGTCTTCCCCGGCAGGGTGTTGCGGCAGCAGAGGACCCAGTTGCACACGGTGCCTGCACTGAGGCCCTTCTTTACTCAACTGCAGGACGTCACACTTTTCTGCGTCCATCCAACCTCCTTGGCAGCCCCCTTGTGGGTTACGCCACATCTCCCTGACCCCGATATAGCAGAGCAGACCCGGAATCTTCACTTCCTTGACTTTGCTTTGTGATCTGACCCACTGTGTTGCTTTCATCTCACCAATAGGCTGGTGATTCTCAAATCCAGAATTCCAGCCCCTTCCCTTCTCCTGGTTATAAACTTTCATCAAACAGTATACTTGAAACTCTGACTCTCTTGTCCAAAAACATATACAACTCAAACTATTTACACTGAACTTCTTTTCTCCCCAAAATCTCTTTCTCCTCCAATATTCTCAGCCTCAGTGACTGGTATGTCCATTCTCCCAGCAGCTCAGGTCAAAAATCCAGGAGACATCCCTCACCCTCTCTGTCTCCCACAGCCCACTCCTGAGTCATTAGCAGTTCCCATGAACCTTCACTTCAAATTTGTCAGGAATCTGGTCCCACCTGGCCTCAATTGCCATCTCCTGCCTGGAATGTCCACCAGCCTCTTCTCTGACTCTCTGCTTCTGCTCTTCCTCTCCCACACCTGCTCTCTTCTGCACAAAACTCTCCAGATGCTCACAGTGGCTGTGCGTTCAGACATGATGCACACACAGGCTGGGCTTGTCCACGCTCACTTCCTGCTCAGGGCCCCTGCCTCCCTCTGTCTAACCACACGGCCCTCCCTGTGGCTCCC